CTTGCGTCGTGCGTTTATAGGGCTGCGAATTCAGATTTCCCTCTCAATCTAGGACTCAAGTTTGAATTGGAGTCTTCTTGCACTGCTGTTTCCGATCTGCTCTCCCTCTCGCCCCTCTTCCGTCTTTTCTGGGTTAATTGGATGAATGGGTCTAGTCCTAATTTGGGCTTGGCCCAACTTCTTTATTCTTCGATTGTAGTGCCCAACTTTGACATCTTCTTCAACTCTTTGGATTCTAAAATATATCTAAAATTATTTGTCAATGAAAATAATATTTACAAAATAATTGACAAATATAAATATGCTCAAAATCATGCATTTTATGTATAAAATATAAATAATAGCCTAAAATGCTAAATAGAACAAAATGTGATTCTTTAGGTATAAAATGCACATAAATCATATTAAAAATGCTAAGAAGTGAGAGATTAAAATATGATATTTTGTGACTTAACAAATACCCCCACACTTAGACTTTTGCACGCCCTCGTGCAAAGTAGATATTGAAAATCATTTTTTTGTTGAAATTAGAACTCAAAACAATTTCTCAATCTTATAACAATATAAAGTGATGCATGAAACATTAAACAAAAATTAACCCTGTACCAAATAGAATAAACACTTTAAAAATAAAGTTGCTACTTTAAAATTTAAACAATTCTTTTAGTTCAAAGCTAAGTAGAAATTACTTTTATTTAGTGTCAAAACTTTTAAATTAATTAAGACCATTGAGAGCAATTTAAAAGAAATCTATAGAGCAGCGAAAAGTGGTTAGAAATCCCAAGAAACAATCAAGTAAAGAAAAGCTCAAGAAAATTTATTTTCTTTTCCAAAATTTGTTAACTTTTATTTATTGCATTGATTTAATATTTTAATTTTAATTGTTTGAGTTGACTCGTGTAGCGAGTCTCAACCAGGCTACCCCAGGCCCATTCCAGATAGCCCAGGACCTAAATAAACGAAGTATTCCGAGGGTTTCAACTCGAGTGCTCAAACAATATTTTTATTCATTTTTTGACTCTTTTATTTTTACCTAGCCATTTATTGCCCTTTTTTCTTTTTTTTGGCTCAATGGCGTCGGTTATTCTTCTTTTTTTTACACTGGTTATGGACGAGATTCGTACGGCCCAAAACGGGGTTTGCTCTTCCAACTTAAGTTTTCTCCATACACAACATCACTTTCTTTTGGGATCTGTTGCTTAAGGGGACAAAGGTGCCGTGCCACCCATGCCAACCTAAGATGGTGTTCCAGATTATATATTATATTCATTTCAGCATCTTGATAATATGTAGATAACCAAAATTGAGAAAAAGAAAAATATTTTCTTAAGACTAACTTTACTTGAATAGTAACTTAGGACAAAAAAAGAGTTAGAAAACTGCTCCATGTATTTCCAAATAAATTGTGCACATTTAACTTAACTAACTAAAAGGTATGAAATTAAACAAAAATAACTTCCAAATAGATTTGACATAAAAGAAATGATTTAAAGTTTATAGTAGCAAACTCATTTTTAAAGAAATTCAAACATACCTGTTACAAAATTAATTTCAATTTAATGCAAAAATTGCAAACACTTAACAGTGCTAAATGATTAAAAGAAATTATTCAGAACTCTAATTTTTCTTGAAACTCTTTTTTTTATATAGATTTTTATGTGAAAGATTATTGTTTTATTTAAAAACTTTTAAAAAATTTTAATTTTTTATAACCAGATTGCATCTAAAATGCTAAATTTGACCTGAAATACCTTTTTTCTACTCATTTATTGCTCCTAGTATTTGTATAAAAACATGCAAACAATTTTTTTTAAAACATGCATAACTAGATGCGGAAGCGTCCCCCCACACTTAAATCATGCAGTGTCCTCAATGCATGTAAATGATGAACTTATGCACATACTAGCTAGATGAAACAATTTAAAACATGAAGCATGAAGAATCATAAAACAAATGCTAGATGATGGGAAGGGGATCATAAGATATGACAATTAAGCACACAAGACAGACAAAGTGCAAGTAAAGACGAGACTAATAGAAAAGTAAAAGTAAATTAAATGCATAAAAGTAAAAGTTTAAATATCTAGGTTGCCTCCCAGAAAGCTGCCCTCCTTTAATGTCTTTGACTGGTCCCTTTGCTCTGTACAATATGGAGAATCCATATTATACTCTTAATAACGAGCAATTTTCATCTACCAACGCAGTACTCTCGCTTCCATTTAACTATAAGACCTGAATTTCCACAAGGAAAACATTAAAAGAGACAAAACAAGAGCAAGAAAAAGCTGATTTAAAATTCTGAAGATGTTTATTACTTAGAGTTGCTGATTTTTTTCCAGATCTGGAAAACTTTTAGGATAAGACTTAGGTTGGTGCTAAGTCAATTCAAAGACTCTAAATTAAAATTTGAGACACTGACCGACACAACTAAAATTCTTAATAAATGATGACTACAACTTACAAAGACAAACTCCATAAAAAAAACAAAACGAGCTACTGATCCAAAAAAAATACAAATAAACCTAAACACTAAGCTAGAGCTTTCAATAGACTCAAGAACTAACAAAATAAATACTGAAAGGATAAAAAAGACTAACCTAAACATAAACAAAAAGGTAACATAAAAGACTACTTTTTTTATCTTTTCATTCCAATTTTTTTCCATAAACCGAAAGGAATTTTTTCTTTATCTTTTTTTTTTGTTTAGAAATTTTTTTAGACATAGCAAACTGAATTTCATAAAAAGATAATCTTTCCCCGGCAACGGCGCCAAAATTTGTTAGGCGTGTCGTAGCACCTACAAATTAATTTATTATTTCCTTAACTTTTAACCCACTTTATGATTCAATATTCATCAAAACATATAGATAGGGCAAGTAAGGGTCGATTCCACGAGGAAAGATACTTTTTAGGCTGTGAAAATCAGTTCACTTGTCATTTTTATTGAATAAAAACTAACGAAAATCGAAAACTAAAACTAAGAGATATGGGGGGTTTGAATGATAATTCTAAAAAGATAAAAAATGCAAATAAAATAAAGATAAGGATAACAGATAAGAGATACGAAATGAAACCACAACAGCAACTCGAACTCGGAAGACACTCAGGGAGAAACAAACACACAAAAACAATCACACAATAAACTTTATAAAAACATAGACAATAATAATTAACTTAAACCATTTTGAAAATACTTATAGTTTAAATAGAAAATAAACTGAACAAATCCGATTAATCAATTAATTATGCCTTAATCCTGAAACTAAACTGCTAATTAAACTCAGGGTTAAGCTGAAGAAGAGATCCACCTGCGGTTCTTCCCTATTCTCCCTAATATAGCCTATGTTAAGACCTGCCCTAACTCTAGACCCTACTATTCTTAACAACCCAAGGACCTGCCCCCAGATTTAATTAAAAATAGAGCATTAAGTTCTTTGGAAAACATCACTTAACAACTATGCAGTAGACTATATCTATTTAACATAGCCAGTTTGAAAACTCTGATTAATAAAAATCGGGTGAGAGCCAATTAAGTATTAACCAGGTGACACTTGTGTTTTAAAAATCTCAGCTATAAACGTACTCAAGATCTTAAAACTGTCAATTGGAATTAGAGTTTAGGCGGCCGTCCTAAATT